TGCTTAATGCTTTACTCTATCTATCTATCTATCTATCTATCTATCTATCTATCTATCTCTCTCTCTCTCTCTCTCTCTATATATATATATATATATATATATATAAGTGAACATAAAGTTATATGCAATCGACAGGCCTGTTTCATATATATTGAAACAGACTGTCGATTGCATAAGTGTTGACTTGTGTTCACTTTATTTATATTTACACACGTTCTATCTCTGATATTGAGCACTTTATCCCATAAATATAGCACATCTTAAGGCTATATTTCTTCATATATATATATATATATATATATATATATATATGTATATGTGTGTAAAAAATATATAGAAAATAGGAAAGAACTCGTTTTGAAAATTGAGAACTCTTATGTAGCGTTGGAATATATATATATATATATATATATATATATATATATATATATATATATATATATATATATATCAGTCTGTCCATATTCATCTATCTATCTATCTCAGTCTGTCCATCTATCTCAGTCTGTTCGTATCTATCTATCTATCTATCCTCTCTATCCCTCTCTCTCTCTTTCTCTCTCTCTCTCTCTCTATATATATATATATATATATATCAGTCTGTTTGTATGTATGTATGTATGTATGTATGTATCTATCAATCTATCTCTCTCAGTCTGTTCATATCAATTTATTTATTCATATAATCTATGTAACTATCCCTCTGTCTGAGCATTATATATCTGTCTATCTATCCCTAAAAGTGGACACTGTGGTCAACGCCAAGCGGCGAGTCGGTTTCATGCTTGAAAGCAATCTTCAGGGCATTTGCCTTCAAGCATGGAACAGGCTGTCACCACTTGGCGTTGACCTCAGTGTCTACGCTTATATTTACATACGCTCTATCTCTAATATTGGCAGCATGTCGTTATTAAGAAACTTGCGAGAAAGCAAATAAAAATTGAGAAAAAGATCAAGCGGAAGAGTTCCGTGGTATTTTATAACATATGCCTGAATATATATAAAGATGTTTAAACACATTCACAAACCTACCAGACTCCACCCGAAATATACAAGTAGAAAATAGAAGCATAATAACCTCATCCACATGTAAAAAAACATTAAAAATAATGGAAACCCTAATAATAAAAAAGAAAAAGCCAACACTCAATAGCATTAACTACGAACACGGCCACAATGTACTGACCGTGTTTGGAAAATAAAACATCCCTATAATTCTAGATACATACACACAACTCATACATTCAGTTAAAAAGTAAAAATACAATCATCCTTGATAATGGATAAAAGTAGAGCCGAAAGCGCTCAGAAATGCAAAACATTTGGACAGTTTTTACACACTTTATCCAGCAAAGAAAACACTTGTACGAACACAAGAAAAATTAAATGAAAAGCTTAATTGCATACCATGACAGTCGTCTTTAACGAAACATGCATAAAAGAGGGGTTGCAGCCTAAATAAACAATATATATACATGCATACATACATAATAATAGCTGGCCATTGGTATTCGAGGATAGCCATCTACTAGGGCGGCTAGCCAATCCCTATTGCAGATGCTCGCTCAGGCACATTTGTGTTTGTTCAACACCAACAAAGCCCAACTGCAACTATGCTGAGCAGACCTTAGTTACAGTTTTGGTGGGGAGAACGTGTTATCTAGTGTGATCAACAATTTGAACAAGGACAGCACGCTCAAGCCCTCGGCCACGATGACTTGTGGCTCGTGCTAGCACAACTATCGACGGCCTTCAAGAGTTCCGTCTACCCAATTTCACTCACAAGGCTTGGGTCAACCCGTGGTATGGTTTTCAGTTTTCGCTTTCATATATATATATATATGTGTGTGTGTGTGTACTTTTTACAATTGGAATTAATATACCTTTAGTAAATGATTCCAGTAAGATGCCTTCTTCTCCCCATACCTCCCAATAAGTCCCCTATAACATACTCTATTTCTTTCTCCAAATAAACAGTACTCTACAAACTGATACCATAAACAGTTTGAAAAATCCTCCGAAATTAAAATTCGTAGATGAAAATGGTCATTTACTAAAGATATCTTAATTCCAATTGTAAAGAAAATTTGCACTGTTTAATGAAAATATATATTGATCGCTCATTTGTCAGTCAGTTTTAACATATTTCAAATTCTATGTTGTGTTAATAAGACTCGCCCGGATTGCTACCTATATATATATATATATATATATATATATATATATATATATATATATATAAATAAATATATATATATATATATATATGCTTTTCTTTTTACTTTCTTTTTTTGTTTTTATGTTTCTTTTATCTTTTGCATAGCCTAACATGCGCACTATTTTAGTTGAAATTATTTAGATTGACGCATAGACGGAGTGCTCAAATATATGGATTAATCAACTAACAGCATGTACTGCCTTGGGTCTGTGTGTACGCCATGCGCATTTATGATTACACGCATGGGCATATGAATATATGAAAGTATAATGAGGAAGAGGGCTTGGAAAATTTGATACTCACGGGAAAACCACACATAACCTGCCTAGCGAGTAAATGGCGGAGCAAGGTTTAGCAGCCATAACAAAAAAACAAAATTTATTAAATGCTACAAAGGACAGAAAATTGTGGAGAGCCATGATCGCCAACGTCCTGAAGGGACACAGTACGTAAAAGAATAAGAAGGTGTGTGCAAAAGTTTCCAGCATGTTTTTTTTGTTTTTTTTACTGAAAAACACTGGTTACTAGTGTGCATTCAATATCTGGTCTTCCAAAAAAAATTCGCTGGGAACATTTACACACATCTAATATATGTAAGTATTTGGTACTGCTGGAAAAATCTGCCTCGTCAGTCATGTGTCTTTCGATACATGATTGCTTAAGCGTGTATAACGCATGGCACATAACTGACTTATTCGGTGTATGCACAAGTTTCCAGTATTTTTTTGTTTTAGAAACACTGGTTTTAGTGTGAAATCTGTGCTGATTTTTTAAAAAAGAAGTCGCTCGAAACTTTTCCGCATATTTAATATATCTCTCTCTCTATATATATATATGTATGTTAACCCTGAAAACTCCCCTGTAGTGTATAGAGCCACAGATACAATACGTTAAATGTTGCTACTATGATTTCAATAGTAAGTTTTTTTACGGGTTGCAGCTACTAGCTCCATGCTCAGCCGTTTTTTGTCTTTCTCTCAGACTGGATGCAAGCCATGGCTAGAGAGCTCTTTTACCCCATAGCTGAGGATGAGGTAAACAGATATTTTCATTCCTTTCTATGGCTATTCGTGTAAAAATAAACACAACAGTCTAAGTGAGGTTTTGAACTCGGCTCGCAGATTCTATTTTCCATGCCGGGTAAGCGTTACGCCGGCCACACCTCCGTCTATCAATCATATATATGCAATAAGAGAATATATGAATGTATAATTACGTATTGATGTAATCTATATGCAGAAGATTTGCGTGCTCTTAACTTAGAGATAGCGTCCAGGAGCTGGCCTTAATTCAAAACAGGTATATTGTCAGAAAACCACTTCAAAGGATTGGCATATCACTACAAACAGCTCAACCTTGGAGAAGAAAACGCCAAGAGAAAAGATACGAACTCAGAACAGAACTCCCATCGCTCCATCTTCGTGGACCACTATTGAGGTCGGACACACACGTCGTATCTGTCCTTAAAGCATGTATTTGCGCTGGTCTGAGGTTGTCCCCATTCCTGTATCAATGATGGGAAGATCTTACAAAACCATCGTTCATGCTACCAGCTCAATATATATATATATATATATATATATATATATATATATATATATATAATATAAATATAAAACTGAACACTGAAGTCAACACTCAGAGGCGACAGGCTGTTTTCATACTAGACGCAATCGTCAGGCGACCTGACGATTGCGTCTAGTATGAATCAGCCATTAGCCTCTGGTGTTGACTTCAATGTTCACTTTATATTTATATATATATATATATATATATATATATATATATATGCATGTGTGTGTGTTTGGGTTTGTGTGTGTGTTTGGGTGTGTGTATATATATATATATATATATATATATATTATGGTTGTATCTGTATGTAATTGTGTGTATGTACGACCGCGCATGTGTTTTCATGCCAATACACATGAATGAACGTGTATTCCAGTTTAATTCACATCTGTGCACTTTCTTTCATGTGTGCGTCCCTCTGTGCGTATGCACGCACACGGCAGTCCCTATCGGCTACAACCTCTTTTCAACCCTTGTTTTCAGAGCAGCAGATGTTCCGGGCAACAGTTCCTACAAATATTGGAAGCTTTCTTCGAAGTCTTGGATGCTAAATATTTGCCACATTAATGACACCTCCCTATCCTTTTCTGTCTCTCTTCTTTATCTTTCTCTTTCTTTCTCTTTGTTTCACACGTATACACAGATAAGGGCATTTGTATGCGCACTAATCCTTCCACACACTGCCATTTTCCCTAATTTTTTTTTAGTTTTTTGCTTTTCTTTTTTCTTCGCTCATTTATTTATTTTTATTTTATTTTTTTGCTTATCTTTCGCATTTGTTCTGTTGTCACTTTTTTTTGTTGTTTGGTTCCATTTAATTTTTTTAGAAAACTCTTTGTTACCGGGATTTGAATAACAATTCCTGGCCACTTAACTTTCATTTGGTTTTAGTGTCCCATTTTTTTTCTATTTGTCTTCTCTTCGCCTTCGCCGTCTTTCATTTTCTTCTTATTATTGTATTTCTTTCTTTTGCACGTGTTTTCTCGATGTATGTACCTCTATAAGTACTTAAGAAAAGAGGATGAAAGGGTACGTAACAAAGAAAGTGAATATAGAGAGAAAGCTAAAACAATATTTTGCATATATCCTTCTCATTTTAACATATACTTACTCAGATCTGCCACAAGGCTACAAAAACCTAGCTTTACTCAAGATTGAGTTCATTTCCAAACTAGTTTATTTATACAAAATGCTTGTAATCGACTAAATTTTAGCGAAGTTGTATGGGGAAGAAGGAAAGTAATGGGTGAGAGACAGAGACAGCGAAAATAGGAGTGACAGATAGTGAAAAAGAAAGAAAGAAAGAAAGAAAGAAAGTCATAAAAAGGGAAATAATACAAAAAAACAGAAAAAGAATGCTACATACGATTGAAAGAAAGAACGAAATAGTAAATAGAAAACAGGTGAAAAGAAAGAAAGAAAGAAAGAAAGAAAGAATGAATGAATGACGATGGAAGTAGCAGAGAGTAGGAGAGAGAGAGAGAGAGAGAGTGACAGAGGGAGAAAGAGAAAGGCTGAGAGGGAGATAATAATGAAAGAGTAAGATAAAAATGAGAGTAGCAGTGAGATGGAGGAAGAGAGTGGATGTAAGAGGGAGAAAATAGAGAGAATGAAAGAGAATTAGGACGTAAGAGAGACAAAGTGTTTAGAGTGTCACGGAGAGAGAAAGAGTAACAGAGAAAATAAAACAATTACGGGTGCATGACCATACGAGTACTCGCACATTTACATTGAAAGTATTACGTTAGTAATGCTTGTTGCCTTATGCCAAAAAACGGTCTATGTTTCTATTTCTCTATCTCTGTGTAATATTCACAATACTTATCAAAGACCGACTTAAAGTTTTGCTCGCCAAAATCCAAAACAAGAATATTGTATTAACAGAATGGACATTTTATAAACGCATATTGTATACACTAACATCACGAAACTTTAAGCGAATTTTTGACAAATATTGTGAACCTTTTATATTTTTTATATCAATAATCATTGCCCTAAATATATGTTGAAAACTTTATTTACGAAATTCTGTTCATCTTGACATACGTTACATTATATCATTTCACGTATATATTATATATACTATTTTTTATATATATATATATATATATATATAATAGTATAAAAATATAGCTTTAAGGTATGGTATATTTATGCGTAAAAGTGCTCAATATCAGGGGTAGAGCAAGTCTAAGTATAAAAAATATACACTGAGGCCAACGCCGAGTGTCGACAGCTTATTCCATACTTGAACGCAATCTTCAGGCTTGAAAAATTGTGTTCAAGCATGAAACAGACTGTCGCGACTCGGTGTTGACCTCAATGTATACATTTATATAATATATATATATATATATATATATATATATATATATATATATATATATATATATATTTGTGTGTGTGTGTGTATGTGCCTGCATCTGAAGCCAAATTAAAGTGTCATTATTTTTCATCAAAGTGAGTAATTTTCAAGCAGAAGGCAAATCCTTCTACATGATACATTTCAATTCTAATGGACAATTTTAGCCAAAAGAGGAATTAGCGAGAAATTACAGTCACACACACACACACACACACACATACATACATACACGCACACACATACACATGGGATAGAAAGTGAGAAAAACTGGGACCTCCAAGGTAAGAGATCAGGGTCAGCAAAAATTCAGGTAATTTGAATGGGCGAACCAAATTCAAGTCCTTATCAAGATTTATGATCTCATTTTCACCTGGCCTAAACTCAAATCACGTCTGCTTAAGTCATATATCACCAGTCCTTGAAAGTGAAAAGGCTGGGTAAATATAAGGACTAATGATTCATCTCATAATTACATACGCATGCGATATGGCTGAAATATCCTTTGTCACTAACGACTATGGAGGCCAATGTTCCCGCAGAGTAAACTGGTATATATATATATATATATATATATATATATATATATATTATAATGAAAGAATATATATGTACGAAAGATAAAAGAATGTAGTAGGTAAACGAGAGAAAGAGACAAGTGTAGAGAGAAAGAAAGAAAGTCAAATAGAAAGAAGATGAAAACAAGAGAGAAAGAGAGAACAAATAACTTGAATGTTTAAGAAGGCGCATCTGGAAAGTCCATTTCAATATTTGAGTCTTGCATACGAGTACGCATGCGTACATCTCATTTTTGGCCTTGGCGAATTTATATACTCTAATTTTCACATATGGTTATTAGTATTAGTATCAGTATTAGGTGAAGCATATGCGCGATTTTAAAAGCTTACGGTTCAATATATATAAAGCAGTCTTGTCTTATCTGTGGGATATATGTTACAAGATCCCCGTTGCATATATAAAATTGTAAGAGTACCCAATAGTACTATATTTTTCCTCTATATATACCGCGATGTTATAAAGTTAAATTTACAAATTAAACAATAAGTGATTCGTAACAACAGCTCATAAAAAGTTAAAGCAATTACAATAAAAGTTATATGACAGATAAGTATAGCTTTCACAGTATATCTCAACATATATTTTATATAAATTTTACTTTCTTTAAGTCGAGAACTGCCACCATTTTACTTAAAGGTTTTGAAGGTTTTTCTTTAGTATTGCTAGCACCACTACTTTTGCATTTTTTTCGTTCAATGTAACGTTCGAGAGTCACTCAAGGTAGAGGATGATGTGCGGTATGGAATGAATTTTGTACGAAACGAAGATTCATAGGATAAGGAGTATAGATAGCGATTGAACCTGATATGAAGAGTTTAAGACTGTAGTGTTCGGGAAAGCATCTACGCGGGAGTCTGTTCCACAGAGGTAGGCTTTTTTAGAAAGAAACTAAGTAGACTTCCCTCTTACAAAGAGAATGATCCAACCAGATGGACGTAACATGGTGAATCTTAGCTGTTTAAGTCAGAATTGGTGCAACTAAAGAATTGAGCTCGTCAAACCATTTACCATCGAAACTGTAATAGAGTAGCGATAGGTTTGTGGGGAAAGAGGTTGTAGAATGGAAAATACTTCATCCCACACAATTCTGTGTAAATGATTAAATCAAACAAAAGAATTGTTTGACAGTGTCGAAGTCTATTCGCGCGAAAGTTTCTACGTCTAAAAATATCAGTAGACAGCTATAGAGACGAAATGACTGAACGTGCAGAGGACTTCCGACCACTCGTGTAATCGAAGCCATGCTGGGCTAGAGAATTCATGCACGATACTAGGCAAGTAAGTATTCCATAACTGTTAGCATGGGCTAAATAGCAGAAAAGACTGGTTCCTAAACCTTAAAAGGAAAATTTTGAATTCAAACCAGCCTGGAGAGAGTTGGTTCCGTCAGGCTATCTTGTCCAAGACACGCCACTGCTGCTACGGCTGCGGTACACGTGATGCCTTTACGACACTTAAGGTTTACAGGACTCATGATTCTGTAGTAAATACTAACAGAAACACTTCCTCGTAAAGAAATAGTAAGCTAGTTCTTGAAATTAAAAAAATACTTGTTTTTTTTTTTTTTTAATATAAAATGCTTAATCGATATGTGTCATACCTGAACGTACCTATTCTATTATTAATAGACTCTCCCACACATAATAAGTAGTAGTAGTAGTAGTAGTAGCGGTCGCCAGTTGGGATCAGTGGTGTTGAGCGAGTCAGTCGATGTCGGACATTGAAGTATGAACCATCACAACTAGATTGCTGCGTCATTAACTCTTATTTCAAGTTCCTAACGTTTTGTACGTCGAACCTAATTTAGGACGACTTATTGAAATACAAGCCTTCACTGTGAAAACTACACTACAACACAATATGATAAAAGAACTCTAGATTATTATTATTATTTTACATTTTAAGAAATCACGTGGTATGAGTACATTTTGTTTTGGCTTTCGTATTGGTAACGAACTGTACAGAGTACACTGTATTCCAATCTGTCTCTTCATAGTCGACTTAAATGGGCGCCATTATTTGAGAGCGCGGTATCGGTTTCTACACCTTACGTGCAAGACTTACACCATGTCGTCTGGTCAACTGAGTTACGCTTCCAACACAAGTCAAGGATGTGTGTGATGAGCGATTGCCGTAATGGATCAATTTACAATGTATTTACATAAGAAATTGGTCTCCCGCTATTAACTTTTTTTATTTAATTTTTTTTTCTTAATAGTCGTGATCTGAATTTGTGATCTGGAGTGCTTAATCTACAGTAATATAAACAAAAATTTGTTTAAAAAAATGTTATTCTGGTCGCTGTGTCTACTATACAACTCCATCATTAAAACCTCCTTAAGTGGACTACTTGCTATGTCGTCTGCTTCTCTTACCTTCAGTATGTCAGACGCGTGTCACATTCTCCAACTCATTGTTATGTGGCCCAGAAATTTCAGCCGTTGCCTTTTGATTGTTAGCATTAGTTTCCTTGTAGTTACTATTCTTCTTGAAATTTCCTCATTGTTTTCGTAGTTTATCTATGGTATTCTCGGCACTCAGCAGTAGAATCACATCTTGATCGCTTCAGGTGTCTTCTTCATCTGTGAGGAGATCCATTGCTATATAAGAAACGATATATTACAGAGCAGTTCAGTATTATTTTCTTTGCTTCTAAAGACATTTTCCTATCTCTTCTATGTTGCTTAGTTTCTGAAAGGCATCATTCGCTTTTACTAGGTAAAAAGTTAATTCCTCACCCCACATTACAGAGCTACTACCAGCATACGTAACACCGTACTAACAGGCTGGAGCTATAACCACAATCAGTCTCCACACACATCCTTGACTTCAAAAGTAACTCGGTTGACCAGAAAACATCGTGCCAGTCTTCCACTGTCATATAGGGATATTTTACAACTCATGTGCGGTGCAGAAACTGATGCCGTCGTCTCATTAATGGCACATATTTAAGTTGACTATTATGAAATAGTTGTGAATGCAATGTATAGGGCTTTGACTGATAGGTTGAGCGCGACCAGAATATAATTAAGTTGGGTATTGATGCAATGGTCTTATTCACTGGTTGGTCGTCATATATATCCCCAAGAAAACAATTCGCGTCCCCAAGAAAGCAACTCGCCCAGACCAAAAAAGACTTCTAAAAAAGACTTCCCCAAGAAAGCAACTCGCCCGGAGCAAAAAAGACTTCTACAGGTTTACACCTTCCTAACAATATGGGTTGAAGGACTTCCACAACAGGATATTATTTTTGATAATTTCTTAAATATTTAATCGGAATATAACTCAGTCTCAATGTCTGGCAAGACTAATATTGTTTTGCTATGAAAACTCCAAAAATGTTTATAATTAATATTTCAGATTAAAATTCATTTAATATGCAATGATACGAACTTATTGTTCTAGATATTCACTGTTTAAATTTTTAAATGACCTTAGTCACCACTGATCTGTCCAGTTTATCATCTGTGTTCACCCGCATGTCTTACATGTTGCTGATATTTATCATAATATCATAATAGAAATTGCACAACTTTAGATGTAACCGTAAGTTCCATGATAACAGTCTCTTTTCTCGCACTTCTCATTTGTAAAACTCTCTTCTGGCTCCATGCTTGCCAGCCAACTTTGATCTTCAAAAATTGGAATGCAATCTGAATCGTCTTCCGGATTACTCTTCTATTGTTCTCACCTCTTAATAACGTTTCTTTTCTTTTTTTTTCTTATTCTTTTCACACTCAGTAACCCCTTGTACCTTAGTGACTTTACTGCCTTGCATGGGGTGATATGATTTAAAAAAAAAACTCTTGTAAATAGTTGCCCTTTTTGCGTATGAATAACCAAGAGCAGTGACTACGTTCAAGATTAATAATGAATAACCAAGAGCAGTGACTACGTTCAAGATTAATAATGAATAACCAAGAGCAGTGACTACGTTCAAGATTAATAATGAATAACCAAGAGCAGTGACTACGTTCAAGATTAATAATGAATAACCAAGAGCAGTGACTACGTTCAAGATTAATAATGAATAACCAAGAGCAGTGACTACGTTCAAGATTAATAATGAATAACCAAGAGCAGTGACTACGTTCAAGATTAATAATGAATAACCAAGAGCAGTGACTACGTTCAAGATTAAGTGTCCTTTCCTTCTGCCATCAGCAATTATCCCGCGGTTAAATGGTATTAGAACATATCAAAATTTCTTGCTACCACAATTACACTACATTTTTACTAATTACATCCTGCATACGCCATCCGGTTGAATATATTTCTACCGGTAGAGGATGGATAAAGTTTTTTATGTACAATTGTCTAATTTGGGGAAACTTATGTTTATAATTAATATTGCAGATTAAAATTCATTTAATATGCAATGATACGAACTTATTGTTCTAGATATTCACTGTTTAAATTTTTAAATGACCTTAGTCACCACTGATCTGTGTTCGTGCGTTTGAACTCAATTATTTAAATTAGATTATAACATCAATGGCTGAATAGAAATGCTTGACAGGCTGTATTTAAAGTAAATTTTTTTTTGTTTCACTTTTGTCGGGTCATCGGTTGCAATAATTTACCTTTTCTAACAGGTGCCACCACCCGGATTGGGGTGGACCTGGTAACACCAGCAATTAAGAGGTAGTTCCACGCTCCTCAAAACCTCTGGATCAGTGGCCTTGCTACCCGATGTAGTTTATCGTCATACCGAGGACGCCGCGTTTCTTTATTGCATAATTGAGTTTATACACACACACACACACACACACACACACATATATATATATATATATATATATATATATATATATATATATATATATATATATATATATATATTGATTCCGTGAAGATTTTAAAATATTTTCATAATAAAAAATCTTAGGCGGATTTACGAAGCAGGCATAATATCCATCTCACGCACGGTGAATACTAGACCTGGCTTCTTTAGTATTTCCCCTTTTCTAGCGAGATTAATGCTCGACAAGCGTACATATAAATTTTAGATCAAAATAGAATTCTTTTCATTTTTCATTCAAAATACTCAAAATTTTAGGAATACGTTTTCACAGCGTCGCCCACGTGACGACAACGTGACCATGTTTTAAACGGAGCGCTGATCTTATAAAACTTTCAGTTATTTGTTTGGATAAATCTTGTTCTTATGTACATCGTCTTTGTCATGTTGTATTGATAATGTTATAATTTATGAATATGTCCTGAAGATGGTTTATTAGACCGAAACGTCCGACGTTGACATATTAACATTAAAACAGCATAATTGTATATAAGGATTTTTGTTTGTTTTTTCCGTATATATTTTTCTTCATATATATATATATATATATATATATATATACATGACTGTGGGTGATGAGTCGTGTTTATGCGATTTGCGAAAGAGAATAAAACAAGAATGATAGCGGAAAGACGGTTCCGACATTAAGATGTAAAACTATGTTTAACTATCTATGTGTAAACAAATTTTCAAATGTGTGTGGTACAAATATTAATGACAAATCAAGATTTTTGCACGTCCTCCCTAAATTCTCTTAAGGTCTAAAATTTGTTTCCATAAGCATCTTAAACATTTTCAGATGTACCAACGAAAAGTCATCAAAAATATTCTAAGACTCTTCCGGTGGACTCTAAAGTCTCTTCAAGTAAATTTCTAAATCTTTCTTAATACCCAAGTGCCTCTTAATTATTATTTCACCGACACCCGATCCCAAACCACTTTTTTTTTTCTAATTCTTACTAAGCCTTAAACTCAAAAGCTTGAAAACTAATTCCATGAATAAGTTTATTTAAGTGTAGAATGTGTATTGAAGGTCGATTGCTCCAACACGCAATTTTCATATCAAAATGGCAATTATAAATCATCCCGAGTCGGTCATCGTTCAACAACGGCCGTGTCCCCAAGAAAGCAACTCGTCCAGAGCAAAAAAAGACTTCTACAACTTTTACACCTTCCTAACAATATGGGGTTGAAGGACTTCCACAACGGGATATATCCCAGTCATGGAACTCCAATTATTCGTCTCATTTATCCTAATCAATGATTAACACGGATTATTTTTGATAATTTCTTAAATATTTGATCGGAATATAACTCAGTCTCAATGTCTGGCAAGACTAATATTGTTTTGCTATGAAAACTCCAAAAGGTTTGATAATAGATTTACAACTGTTCAAAACAAATCTCTACACTGAAAATATCAATGAATAATAAAGTTAAAATCACCATGCATATGTGAAAGAAAAATTGACATAAAGTCATGGAGATATGTCCTGCTAATCTCCTTTTCTTATTATAATTCGTTGTTAGAACCCATATCTTAAGATAAACAGAGGAAAAACCATACGTTGAATGTCTGTTAGGGAACAGAAGTTAACCAATAAATCTCGTAAATCATTGCTGGTGTAACGAGTTCGATTCTTACCAGTTGTCCCACCTTTGTACCAAAATAGATAGATAGATAGATAGATAGATAGATAGATAGATAGATAGATAGATAGATATGAGTAAACTGAGATAGATAGATAGATAGATAGATAGATAGATAGATAGATAGATAGATAGATAGATATGAGTAAACTGAGATAGATAGATAGATAGATAGATAGATAGATAGATAGATAGATAGATAGATATGAGTAGACTGAGATAGATAGATAGATAGATAGATAGATAGATAGATAGATAGATAGATAGATAGATATGAGTAGACTGAGATAGATAGATAGATATGAGTAGACTGAGATAGATAGATAGATAGATAGATAGATAGATAGATATGAGTAGACTGAGATAGATAGATAGATAGATAGATAGATAGATAGATGGATAGATAGATAGATATGAGTAGACTGAGATAGATAGATAGATGTGAGTAGACTGGGATAGATAGATAGATATGAGTAGACTGAGATAGATAGATAGATAGATAGATAGATAGATAGATATGAGTAAGATAGATAGATAGATAGATAGATAGATGGATAGATAGATAGATAGATAGATAGATAGATGGATATGGTAGACTGAGATAGATAGATAGATAGATAGATAGATAGATAGATAGATAGATAGATAGATAGTGATTATAACTGGCTTGAGTAACTATGTTTAAGATACGAAGTCAGTTCTTGTCGTCTAATACAGCCAACAGAGCCACAGCCATTCCTCCAACCCGAGGGAGAGCAAAAAAAATCAACAAAACTACAAAAAGACAGATGCAAACCAAATGAACAAACGAAGCATTAAAACGCAAAATTCGCGAATTGTTGATGCGATGACGACGACGACGACCAGACATTTACGTTGCTGTCGGGGGCTGTCTGTTTATCCCATTCTTAAATCACAAAGGTCAAAGGAAAAATAAGTAAGTAAAACAAGAAATTAAAAACAAATACTATTGGTGGGGGCCGAAAAGCAGCCCTATGAAATAAAAGAGCAAAAAAGAAAAAAAAATCGGTTGAACGACACGAGAAGATAACAAAAACAAGAGCATATTCTTGTTTCGTTTGCGTAGAAACTTAGTGAATAAGACATACCAAAATGTCTGACGCATTACAGACGTCTTTTCAAGCTTGTAATTGTGCATTTGCAGCTCATTCCTTAATTTATTTGAAGATAGAATCTCTGGATTTGTTTTTCATTTTATTGGTTGTTTGCTAAATTATTGGGCCCCTTTACAATTTCAATCCAACATCCTTTGTGTATGCCAGTTTATATTTCTGTATAAAAACGCAACTATCTACTTTTATCTATTTTCATCTTAGTCTGGTACAAGGTCACATTCGTAGAGCACCAACAGAGAATCAAACTCACTACAGTAACAAAGATTAGCTAGATGATTATCTGTCTGTTGGTATTTTACGTATATTCGAAAATAGTTGTTCGAAGATAATTATTCGATAAACATTTATTCGAATTGTAAATTGTTTGAATGAAAATTAATCCAAATAGATAATTATACTAAATGATAATTATTCGAAATACCTATGTTTGAAATACGTATGTGGTCATGCTGATTTACCTAGAACTAATAAAGCCCTGGAAGGATGGCATAGGGCTTTTTTGCACAAAGTAAGAACAGGTTGCCAAAATATAAAGAGCGCCAAGAAATACCGCGAAGTAAATGGAAAACTTTAAAAATTAACGGTATCCTTTGAGTACTTTTCAGTAGTTGACTATTTGCGTGCAGTATCATATATCTTAAGTTTATAATGAGTTTTTCTTACTAAATTGTTTTGTTAATGGTATTTGTATTTCGAATAATTATCATTTGTGTATTTCCTCTTTTAATTTTTACATTTTTATTGCAATAAGGAGTTAATAGATTTTATTTATAATCCAACATAAATTCATATTACTTTAAACGTTATATTTTACTGGACACGCTAATTTAAGTAGATATCACTGTTTTTTTTTTTGTTTTTGTTTTTTTAAATGGCGTAAATCTATGTCTACTGGTTTGTACATTCGAGAGTACTGAATAAAAAATATGCTTTCTGAAACTGTTCGAACCTATGTCGGGGAAACTATCGTATAGATCGCTCAGCCACGAAAAACTGTCACGGTCAAATTTAGTTTATTTCAGTACAAAAACATAGTAGGATACACAATGACTATTATAGTCCCTAGAGTAGTAACAGCCTGCAAGATTAGCTCAAACTGCGAGATTAGTTCAAACTTGATCACACCAGGTTATATTCTCTTTCCCAGAAAGTTTAATTAGTTGCAGTATAAAACAGAAGTTCTATCTGATAAACAAATGTGCCTGAGTAGGCATCTGCAACAGAGATTAGGATTAGGTAACCATCCTATCGGACAGCCATACTAAGAAACGATCAGACAGCCATACAGTCGTGCCGGACAACTGTTCTAACCAGTACTCCATTAGGAGTTTACCTATCAAAATGAAATTTTATTTTTCGCCTACTCTGCTTTTCCTTCAGTTATTTTAAATAAACTTCATAAAACCCTGATTGAGTGATTTGTTTTTTTACGGCTTATCAACCCTTTGTTGGTTATTTAAAACTGGAACGTTTTTGGATTGTAGGAATTATTCTTTTTCTGCGAGTATTTGGTAATAAGATATTTGCACGTAAATGAATATAACGAGCCAAACTAGAATTCGAACTCTGTTCTCTGACTTCTCATTCCGTACCGCTATCCATTGCAACACCCACACACCCACATCCTGATATAAATAATCGCGTAAACGTCCAAATCGAAAACTGAGATCTTCACCATGTCAGAATATCAACTAACTATAATGATAATAGGATCTTAGAAATGTTATTTATGCAATATATGCTCTGTAAATGTTTCTAGATACTCATGCTCTTTCTTAAACTGGACGCAAGAAAACCTCTGAGCTTTGGATCAGAAAACGAAACAAAGATTAGTGACTATGTAAAAAAGCTTTGCATTCTGCAGATCACGTCCCTTCTTCGTTCGCAAAGAAAAAAGTTGTGTTCAGTATTTGAAATCGTTAAAATTCAGTTATGAAAGGATTAACGAATTATATACAAGAGCGTAATTAAAGATCCATTATGATAGTCAGAAATTGCAGAAACACTAAAAAAAAAGGACAACAAATATTAAGTCAAAAAATCACAAAACAAAAAGCAATTGGCATCTAAGTTCCACCCTTTTATTTTTTTTTAATTAGTTAAATGTAACCGCCATTTCTACACCAACAGTTTCTTTTCTTGCACTTCCCGCCTGCTAAACTCCCTTCCGGTTACTTGCTTCCTTGATACCTGCAATCTTCAAACATTTAAATGCAACATCAATAGTCATCTTCTATTTTAGTGAACCCCGTTCAGCTTTTATCCTTTCCTCGGTCCTCCCCTCTATACCCAGTCTTTTCTCTCAACTTCACTCTCTATAAGCCCTTGCGTACCAGTGTAAAAAAAAAAAAAAAAAAACAAGACAAAAAACTATTGTTGATGAAACTATATGCTAAAAGATTTCCTAAGGGAAGCCTTGTTAGTTATTATCATTTTGGGGGTTATTTCTCTTCCATTTTAGTGCATGTATCAGACGACAGATTGATAGTTAAGAATAAACCTCTGGTGAAGTTTGAACGGTCAAATCATGTTTAAACACCAATTCTCGATCACTGAAGTTAAGTAATGTCGACAGCAGTCAGGTCTTAGACGGGACACAGCATGAGGACACCAAGTACTATAAGTGAAAACTAGTTGAGCATGCGGTTAGTAAATTATTCCCGAGTAACCTTACTTGTTATGTAAACCACAGCAGCAACGCTTAGTGTCGTTGAGAACTATGGCCACATGCTTCTCAGAGTTTTCTTTATTTTCTGTCCGCGCTGTTTACTGACGATTGTACAAATACGATTTGAAAGTTGCCGAAAAAGACAATAAAATGAAAGAACTAACAGTCAAACACTAATAATGACAGACAATGCTTCAGATAATACATTTTTACACTATTTTTCCCTCAGTACAAATCTTAGCAGGGACTCATTGTAGTGGGTCACTAAATGAAATTGTTTTAAGGGCGTGCAGGGAGGGAGCGAGAGGTTCGGCATTATGGGGATATGTAGGACAGATAATGGTTTACACTAGACTTGAAAAAATTAAGATTGTAGTGATCGGGGAAGTATTCTCTCAGATGTCTGCTCCAAAATGCAACAGCAGATAATATTGCTAGCACATAAAAACAAATAAGATTGCAGTATGTTATGAATTCTGCTGAAATAATTGAAAACTATATTGTTATATTTTAATATCTGTAACTGTTTGGTCTTCGTAACCCAATCGGTAAAGCAGCTGCTTTCGAAAGAAAGAATGAGAGAGTTGTGATAAAAACAGCAAAAATATTTCAACCAGTTTCATCTGTGCGAAGACAGATGACATTATCAATTACGTAATAAGTGAATGTATCAAATTAGCTGGGTACAAACGGTGATCCACTATGATTTGAGCATTCTAGACAGTAAAAAATAAAATTTAAATTTAAATGGATCACACAGTTCTAATAAAAAGAACGGGTCTATTTATTGTTAACAAAGATATCAGATCATAGATATTTCAGTTTCCTGCGACCACAGAATGAAAATGAAAGACAGAAAAATTAGTCAGAATTGCCAGAGAAAACAATTCTGAAACTTGGAGGTTACAGTTTTATCTTCTCGAACAGCGTTAACGATTAGTGTCAAGAAGAATTCAAACTCTCCTGACGGCAGTTAGAATGATGAAGAGAGTACTACAGTGTTGATGAGACTCACTGTCAATTAATCACCAGCGAGTGTTGTCAGGTTATGACTCGTGGGAAAACTAATAAGTACAAAATAAGTAAGAAATATCAAACAATATTAATCATTTGGGAAACTTAAAATGGTTTTGAAGTTTCCCGAATTTGTAAGGGAATTCAAAAGAAGAGAGAAGCATCACAAGTCACACACGTTAACAATATAAATAGACAATGTCGTACAGGTTCGATGACAACCTGGTATTCATTTACCATCGTATAGAATTCAGGTTTGAGAATTGCAGCAATCAACAGCCTATATATATATATATATATATATATATATATATATATATATATATATATATATATATAATTATTTATTTAAAATTATAACATAAATATAACATATTTATGTTATAATTTTAGATAAATAATTATTGTATGTGCTCTACTCTCTATTGAGCACTCTTTTAAGAATAGTAATTGTTGGTTATTGGAATTTATTCCGTATACACCAATCCTATACTTTATATATATATATATATATATATATATATATATATATATATATATATACTCTGTGTATCTAGGCACAAATGTGCTTTAAGGCAAATATTATTCAAGATAACAGACATTTTGTGTCTTTGTGTCAATAAATTTTACAAATTATGAATAGTTCTTCTCGAACAAGGAGGAAATTCTGTGAAAAATTGTCAGAAGTTTATTTATTTCTTATACTTTTCTTCCGAAATGAAATTCTGCCAATTTCTATTTGTCTGAGAAGGACTATTCGTAATTTTGAAAAGTTAATTAGTAAAATTGACACGAAATATCTGTTCTTTTTAATAATATTTGCCTTATATATATATATATATATATAGAGAGAGAGAGAGAGAGAGAGATATGTGTGGTGGTGGTGGTGGGGTGGGGGGTTCTAGGATAATACGGTTTCCTTAAAACCCACAAAACTTTTATCCCAATGCACTCCGTAACGGAAGCTAACAACGGTTTTCCTAACTATTTCACCAAATTAAACTATTTCTTTCTAAGGTAACAAATAGTTACACTGAACATAAGATAAAACAA